GCATTGGGAGCTGGCCGATCCCAAGCTGCAGGCGGTTGTGGATAAAGCGATTGCACTCTTGCTCTAAGCCACGCGAAGACAATGGCGAGAAGTTTGGCGTCGCCCACCTCGTTCCTGTCGAGGTGGGCTCGGTGGCGAAAAATATGACAAACGTCATGGTCGCAACCACCATGACTCATCCCAACACGAGATGGCCACCGCCATCATCACACAATCACGCTCATCATCATCACCACCCACCGCCATTCACCATTCACCATCACAACATCATCATTGCCATCGCCATCACAACCACACAATCATCACCTCACCATCACACTTATCATTCATCATCACCACCACCAGCACCACCATCACAATCATCATCTCATCACCATCACCACGCGCGCCACCTTCATGTTCATCACCACCATCACACCACCACCGCTCCCTCCCTCCCCTCCCTCCCTCCCTCCCTCCCTCCTCATCCCCCCGTCCTTGCGTAGGTAGATCAAAGGCGTGTCTTGGGTTAGTTAGTTTACGTATGTAATGGCTAGGGGGTATGTATGTCTTGGTCTCTGCACGTTTTGGGTTAGGTGTGTATGTCTTGGCATCTCAAGGCAGTCTTGGTGTCATCTTGGGGCTCTTGACTTGGCGCAATCTTGGGCAACTTTGGGCTAGGTATGCATGTATTGGGTTATACGTAAGCTTTAGGCACTCAGGGGCAGTCTTAAGGCGTCTTGGGGCCCGTATGGGCGTCTTGGGGCCTCTATGGACATCTGTGGCATTCGCCCGAGGCTTCCGCTTGCCGCCTGTGCGATCTCAAAGGGTTGGAGGGGTCCGCGAATGGGGGCTCCCACGGGCGGGGGCGAAGGTCACGACCCCTCCCCCCTTCCAGCCCCAAAGTCTGGGAGGGGGTGCTAGGGTGGTGACTGCCCGTCCTAACCCCTTGTTCGCGGGCGAATGGGGGCTCCCACGGGCGGGGGCGAAGGTCGCGACCTTTCTCCCCTCGGGCCCAAGTGGCTTGGGGGGGTGCTAAGGCGGTGACTGCCCGTCCTAACCCCTTGTTCGCCTAGACCCCGTGATCCGCGTGAGGGGTGCGCCTGTCTTGGGTATTCTTTGAGCTCCTTGGGGGCGTCTTGGGCACGCTGGGCTCCTGCTGTGCCCGCTTGGTTTGCCGTGCTGGTTTGCCCTGCTGCTCTGCAATGCTGGTCTGCCGTGTCGGTCTGCTGCTTTGGGTTGCCATGTTGGTCTGCGTTGTTGGTCTGCCCTGTTGGTCTGCCGTGCTGGTCTGCTCTGCCGCGCGGGCCCATTGGGGTCCTCGGCCTTCCAGGGCCCATGGGGCCTCTGTGCCAGAGCCCAGTCCCTGTTCGCTTAGACCCCTTGATCCGCGTGAGGGGTGTGCCTTTTTGGGATATTTCTTGGCATCCTGTATAGGGCCAAGTATTGGCTCCTTCCCTCCTCCTCCTTCTCTTCCGATGCCTTGGCTCAAAGGGTTTATCTGATTATCTGCGCGCCCCCCGCGCAGCCACATGCGGCATAGTGGGGGCGTCTGCGTTGGTGCTGGGTTGCAGCTGTTTGGGCCGCGAAGTGGGCTTGCTGCAACTAAACGGGTCCACGCTGGGCCACGCCGTGGGCCCTGATTCAGTAGACTTAATCGGCGCTCGGCCGCGCCGTGGGCTCTGCCACGGCAGAGGGTCCCACCTTTGCCTGCGCCCCCCCAATCCCCTGCTCCAAGGCAGGGCCTGGGGCGCGTGGCTGATATAGCGGGGCAAAGGGCCACGGCCCGTGCCCCGCTGCAACTTAGCGCGTGGCCGCTGGGCCAAGCCGTGGGCCGTGTAACAGCCGAATTGGCCGACGACCATCATCATCCACCAATCTTTCATCATAAAATGGGGGGGGAGGGGGAGGGCAGGCCGCTGAGCGCGAGAAGTTCCACTTCATTCAGCTCCGATGGACAGCCTCCCGACGTCCGAGATGCCTCTCGGCGTCTCCGCTCAGGGAGGGCGCTCTGCTGAGCTGGCTGCCCTCTTTCTCTTGTCTATATTCTCTTTCTCTTCCTGCTCCCTGTCTCTCTCTGCAGCCGTCGCCGCGAAGAGTGGCCCGCCCGCGCAGGCAGGGCTCTTCGGCCACCTGTCGCCACTGTGCTGCCCTTTAACCTGCCCTCCCCCATCCCTCCCCCTCCCACTCGTTGGGAAACCCCGTCGCCTTGTTGGTCAAGGCGATTGGTCTCCCGCCGCTGGCTCGAACGTAAAGTATGCGCGCACGGGGGGGGGCCCGCGGCGACCCGATGCGGTCCGACCGCAAGTGCGGGATCCGCACGTGAAGCACCGATCTGTTGGATTGCGACCTTGTGGGTCGCATCTTGGCAATGCCTCCTGGCGCTTCGGCGCCCCGCCGAACGCGCCTGGGCTTGTCCTCAACGCGATAGCGCCGCCTCGTACGAGAGGCGCCGCCATTGCGAATCATGAGTTTCCCCGCGTTGTCGCGGGCGTGCGTCCGACGCCCCAACGGGGGCCTAGCTCCTTGGCGCCCCGCGGCCGTCGTCGCGGGGCGCCGTTGCGCGCCCGCGATGAGATCCGATAGGTGGTTACTGATCAAATGCAATCACACCTCGCGCTGTCCCGTGTAAGCTTCTACGTTTGTTCCAACGCCCACGGGGTTCTTGGGCCGCCTCGAACCCTGCGTTTGTATGGCGCCGTTGTGCGGTGCAAAGGTTGGTAACCTGCGCCGCGGTAGACCCTTTTGTGCTGGCGTGGACGGCAGCGCGCGCGCGGTTGAAGACGCGTCGCGCGGGCAATTCGCCGAACCAGAGTGAGCCGCGTTGCGGCCGCTCCTCAACCCGCAGCGCGAAGGACCGATGTGCGCGCTCGAAAACTTGCGCATTACTGCGACAGCTTTGGCCACCGATGCAGATTGGGCCGCCATGCCTCGTCGCGCCCAGCGCCAGCGTTTGCCATTGTGGTATTTGGACCACGCGGTCGTTGCTTCGCGCGTGCCGATGGGCGCACGCCGCGCAGTTTGTGGGGCGGCGCTTGGCGTGCGATCACGTAGAACATCCTTGTCAAATGACAGCGTAGTGGCAGCGATCGCAAAATCGATTTTTTCGCGCATGTTCCATTTTTTATGTTTCTCAGAAGTGTTTAAAAAGTATTTAAAAAGTGTTTTATGTTGAGATATGAGCATGTCAAGTTCCTACGATAAGAGAACTTCTCAAAACTAATGCTGCTTTCCTAGGGGCTCCAACTTCTAGGTAGGGTCGCACTGGGGTAATATGTCTCTCGCCCCCGCTCTGCGCACACTCGTGTTGAATGTTCGCAACCGTTTCAAGGTCTCGCATGGCTGACGTTCCAGGAGACAACAGTCGTGTTGATCAGCAGGGTTGAAATCCTGGGAATATCCGTAAGGGTTTCGCCCCCTGCCGCCGGCCCGCAATCTATCATAATGGCATATCTGAGAGTCGCGTCGGTGCGTCTCGGCGCTGCCTTGGCGCATCTGGGAACATCTTGCGGGGGCGGACAGGAATCATCAGCGCATGTTGCGAGCGTTATCGAAGACGCCTACCGCGAATCACCGCCGCCCCCTGCCTTGTCGAATCGCCAATGTGGCCGAGCGTTGTGGCAAGAGCTCTGGCAAGCTATCGGGCCATGTGTTCCCCGAGCCGTTGTAAAAACCCTTCGGGGAACATTTGTGGGAGGATGGTGGGGAAGATCAGGAGGAGGAGGAGGAGGAGGAGGAGGAGGAGGGGGCATCTTGGGAGCCTCTGGGGGCACTCTTGGTGCCTCCTTGGAGCTTCCTGGGAGCGTTTTGGAGGCATCTTGGGGGCATCCTTGGGCCTCTTGGAGGCCGTTGGGGGCTTCTCGGGAGCCTCTTTGGCCGTCTTAGGGCATTCCTGGCCTGTCTGACGCCGTCGGAAGCCGTCCAGGGGGCCTCTCTGGGTCTCGGGGCGTCTTGGGCCGTTCTGGGGCCATCTTGGAAGGCCTCGTGGGCGATCTTGGGGCGATCTTTGGGGTCTCTTGGGCCGTCTTGGCCCGTCGGAAAGCCGAAGAGAAGCAAATGTCACAGTCCGTCCAAAACTTTTCGGGCCTTCCTGGAGGCCCTCGTGGGGGCCTCTGGGCCCGTCTTAGAGACCTCTCTTAGGCTGTCGTGGGCCATCTTGGGCCGTCTTGATGGCCTCCTGGCCCGTCGGACGCCGTCAGAAGCTGTCTTGAGGGCCTCTCTGGGCCGACTTGGGGCCCGCTTGGGGTGCTCCAGGGCTGTCTTGGAGGCCATCTGTGCCGTCTTGGAGGCGTCTTCCGGCCCTCTTGGGACGGCCTCTTGGGCCGTTCTGGGGCCAGTTTGGAGGCCTTTTGGGCGATCTTGGGGCGACCTTTGGGGGCTCTTGGGCCGTCTCGGGCGGTCGGAAGGCCGAACAGAAGCAAATGCCAACATTTTTCAAACACCTACAGCAAATCAATGATTTTTGGCCTCTTCAGGCCTTCCTGGGGGACCTCTCAGAGGCCTCTTGGGCCGTCTTGGAGACCTCTTGGGCGCCTCTTAGGCTGTCTTGGGCCATCTTCGATCCATCTTGGGCCGTCTTGATGACCCCCTGGCCCGTCTGACGCCGCCGGAAGTTCTCTTGAGGGCCTCTCTGGGCCGACTTGGGGCCCTCTTGGGGTGCTCCAGGGCCGTCTTGGAGGCCATCTTTGCCGTCTTGGAGGCCTCGTGGGCCGTCATGGGGCCCTCTTGGGCCGTTCTGGGGCCAGCTTGGGAGCCTCTTGGGCGATCCTGGGGCGACCTTTGGGGGCTCTTGGGCCGTCTCGGGCCGTCGGAAGGCCGAACAGAAGCAAATGCCACCATCTCCGTAGCCATTTTGGCTCAAGGCACCGGCTCCGCGCCCGGGCGCGAGGCCCGTTTGGTGTGAGATTCGGGAGCCATGATCAGGGCGCTGTTCTCTCGCTTCCTCTTTCTCTCTCTCGCTGGACATCGACCCGGAGCGCACCGACGTCAACGCGTCTGACATTGCCCGCAACTCGTCGCTGATGTGCCTGAATTTCGGCGTGGCGCCGAATCCCATGTACGGGGTGACGGTCAAGGCATTCTCCAACTTCTTCGTGGGCATCATCCTGCTTCTGGGCGTTTCCCGCTTGGCCACGCTGTGCTGCTCGAGGCTTTGCCCGCCTGAACGGTTCAACGCCTACACGGGCACGCCCGTGCGCCAGAACGGCGAGGAAGATAACGAGGACTTGCTTCGTGAAGCGGCTACCTCATCCGACGAGGGTCCTGGGTACATGCCGCCTTTGTATCCGGGCGACAAGGTGAGATATTCTTCTGGGCAGGTCGGCATTGTGGTCCAACGTTATGAGATGAACGACGACTATCCCGGCAAAGCAACCTAACAGCGATGTGTAGGAGCATATCTGGAAGCATTTCCCTTCAGATTCAGATGATAATCCAGTTGTAGAATTCTGTTGTTCTCGTAGTCAGTCGCATTCGCGATGACAGTCGCAGTGGCAACGGCAGTCGCAGTCACAGCCTCAGACTCAGCCTGCCTCAGCCTCAGCCTCAGCCTGCCTCAGCCTCAGCCTGCCTCAGCCTCAGCCTCAGCCTGCTTCAGCCTCAGCCTCAGTCTGCCTTCAGCCTCGGCCTCAGCCTCAGCCTCAGCCTGCCTCAGCCTCAGCCTGCATCAGCCTCAGCCTCAGCCTCAGCCTGCCTCAGCATCAGCCTGCCTCAGCCTCAGCCTCAGCCTGCCTCAGCCTCAGCCTCAATCTGCTTCAGCCTCAGCCTCAGTCTGCCTTCAGCCTCGGCCTCAGCCTCAGCCTGCCTCAGCCTCAGCCTGCCTCGGCCGCAGCATCCGCCTGCCTCAGCATTCAAACTGTGGCCCAGGAGTGGAGTTCTGGGGACTAGAAGAACACGAGGTGGCCTACAGTTGGCTCCGGGCATTCAAAATCATGCCCAGGAATGGAGTTCTGGGAACTTGAAGAGCACGCAGTGGCCTACAGTTGGCTCCGGGCATTCAAATGTGGCCCGGGAATGGAGTTCTGGGAACTCGAAGAGCACGCAGTGGCCTACAGTTGGCTCCGGGCATCCAAAATGTGGCCCGGGAATGGAGTTTTGGGAACTCGAAGACCACGAAGTGGCCTACAGTTGGCTCCGGGCATCCAAAATGTAAGCCAGGAGTGGAGTTCTGGGAAGTCGAAGAGCACGAAGTGGCCTACAGTTGGCTCCGGGCATCCAAAATGTACGCCGCGCCAAGAGCGATTTTGCGAGGATGTCCAAAGCGATTTGGGCTTCGACGGCAGCCGCGCCGGGTCCCGCCCCGGGTCCCGCCTGAGGAGTCATGATGCTCTCTTTTGACCCCACTAGAAACTTATCAGTCTTCGCTGTTAGGTAAAAAGCATATATCGCTGGCCAATATACCGCTGGCCATTATCATGAAAGACGGGTCCGAGAAGTCCTACGGCCCGTCGGTCGAGGGTGTGGATTCCGACGTCTGGAGGGACGACGTGACCGAGCTCAAGACGGCGATCGCCGAGAAGACGTTGAGGAGCGCTTTTCTCGCGCCGATTCGTTTGAAGTTCCTGTCGGTAGGCTTCCAGGTCCTGGGAATCGCGTCTTCGTGCCACGCGTTCGTGCAGCTCATCTTGCACGTGCCACCGACCTCTTGGGAGCGGTGGGAGACGGTGGCCCTGCTGATCACGCAGCACAGTGCAGCGATCACCCTCGTGGTCGCTTTGGCGCAGACGGGCGTCATGGCCTTCTATGTGGTGGGGTCCGCAGAACGCAGAACAGCAGCAGTCGTGGCCATCGCTGCCGCGATAGTGATGGTACCGGCGGTTGGCGCAGTCATCACGGTCGGCTACGTGTTCTTGGTGGCGCACGTCCTGCCGGGAATGCTCCTGGGAACGGCCGCGATTCCGCTTCTGGCCGTGCTCATCGTACTGATCGTGGACAGCAGGGCTTTGGTCGGGTCGGGTGATGTTGCCCTAGCTGGTCTCGGCGGCGAAACCACAAATGAAGCGTTCAGAGCCTTTGAGCAGATGACGGTTCTGCACAAAGCCTGGTATTTTCTAACTACACTTCTGCCTTTCCATGCTAAGGATGGCAATTGCGAGGTCTTCGTTGTGATCTCCTTGATCGTGGTCGCGTCCGTCGGGGTCCCCGCCTGGTGGGTACTCCTGGGCGGCGCTGCTGCCGCGCCCGCCGCCGATGCGTTCTTGCTAGAGGTGACCTTGCCACTCGTGGCACTGATCTTGCTGGCGGCCTTCAAAGGAGGCCTTATTGCACATAACTTCGACAGGGCAGGGGTGGTCCTGGTCATGGTCTTCGCTCTTGCGCACTTGCTGAGCACAGTGCTCGTCATGGCCGTGCCCGTTTCGATCATTAGCCGCGGGGCCAGCACAGGCATCCGCAACGCGGTTGCTGTGGCATTTTCAGCTCGCGAGGGCCACGTGTTCGCGGCGTGCCTCCGCGACAAGCTCGCAGAGGAATTGAGCGCGCGGGCTGCATGGTTGCGCCATTCGCAGCTAGTCTCGATCTTCTCGTAGGCATGCTCCCGCGAAGTGGCGGAGGATTGCGCGTTGCGACCACCAACACCACCGCCACACCACCACCGCCGCTCCCCCCCTCCCTCACCACGTGTTCGCGGCTCGCCTCCGCGACAAAGCTCGCAGAGGAATTGAGCGCGCGGGCTGCACGGTTGCGCTATTCGCAGCTGGTGTCTATCTTCTCGTAGTTATGTTCCCGGGAAGAGGCGGAGGATAGCACGAGGGAAAAGGCTGCCGGATAGAGCACATTCGTTTCAACAGGCAACGGCGCTGCTTTGCCGGATATTTTGGGATGGCCAGCTGGGTTCGGAGACCCCGTTCCCGGCGTGGCGGTCCATTTGCAGTCGTTGCCTCCGCTCCCTTGCGCGCGCCGCCAACGGCACGTTGAGAAGTTTTCTCCCCCCGAAAGAAGGGCGGGACACTCAGGAACGCTGTTCTCGGGCGACGCGGCAGCGCGACCGCTCCCGTGCGGCAGCGCGATTGGCCCGAACAAAAAAAAAGCAAACGCCAACATCTTTCCAACACCTGTAGCAAATCAATGATTTTGGCCTCTTCGGGCCTTCCTGGAGGACCTCTCGGAGGCTTTTGGGCTGTCTTGGAAGCCTTCTGGGGTCCTCTTGGGCTGTCTTGGGCCATCTTGAGGCTATGTTGAACCGTCTTGGGTGCATCTTGGGCCGTCTTGGTGGCATCTTCGGGCCATCTTAGCCCTCTTGGAGGCAATATTGGAGGCCATCTTGGACCATCTTGGCGGTTTTGCTGGGCATCCTGACTTGTCTTCGGATAATTTGTCTCGGAATTGTGCGCTTTTCGGGTGGCCGGCGGGATGGGCCGAAGCCCCAGGGAGGGTTCTTTTGGACAACAGAGCCAGAACCAAACCGTCTAGTGTTTAGCACCCCTGTGGCAAGTCAACAGGGGGCGGCGGATCCTTCGGACCATCCCGCCACCGTGCCTGGGTTGTGGGTCTGAGGCCTCTTGTATGTGTTGGCGGTGATATGGAAGACCCGCAGGGTCGGATATCGCTGATATCGTTTTGTCGAATGATCGCGCGGCGAATCAATCTGCGCAGCTCTAAGGCCAAGGGCCCTAGTATAAATTTCGAACCGAAACAGGCAGCGGGAAAAAGGGTGAGAGCAGCAAGAGCAGGGGCAGGAATGGATCGGGGAGTGAGCGGAAATCACACTCCTCTTGATCGGCGCTCGCGGCGCCGTCGAGCGACGATCACCGATCGCAGCCCGCTACATTAAGCAGGGCGCTTCGCTGAGAGAGCAAGCGCTGACACGCGCCGCGGTGGATGCTAGGCGCAGCATCTCCACCATAACAAACACAGGCAAACGGCCTTGTCGGCATGCTATCCGGCTGCCTCCGGGCATTTAACGGGCGCTGCTACACGCACCGGCAAGAAACACATAAATTTTCAGGCGAGCAGCAGCGCGAGTCCGATCGCGATGCGACAAGACTCAAGAACATTACCTTATCGAGATAAGGTCTTAATAGTGTGGTCGTCACCACATTGGGAAACAAATGTGCACACTGAATGAAGCTTCGAACGGGCTGTTGGTGCCGAGCGCGGCAGCTCCACAATCAAAACAATGCGGACTAACGTAGTCTGCCACGCGATGCGGCGCCAGGTGAAAACAAAACAAGCTAGCAAAACGGAGCAGAGCGGCGGCACAGAGCGGCGGCTTGCATCGCGAAATCTTCTTCTGCACCTTCGCGTTGCCGGGCAACCCTTGAAGCTGCCTCCATCTGTTTTGCAAGTCCCAGCGCAGGCTGGTGTGCATCTTCGAAAAGTCGGGCTCGTGGGTCATGTGATTCCGGCGAAGCCATGACGCGTGCTTCCGGCACGTCCTGCAGGTCACGTAGACGCTGCGTGGGTTGTGTCCCACGCGCATGTTGTGCTCGGCGAGCACGCAAGCGTTCATCTCCAATGGCGAAACCGTTGGCGTTGATCCGTTCCACGAAACCACGCTGGCTGACGAAGAACTGTGAACCGTCATCGGCGATGATGGCGCAGAACTCGCTCCCTGCACAAAGCTGTCCGGTGATGATTGCGGCGCGGCTGGCGCTGCCGATCCGCTTGCTGATGATGAACTCTGGGCTGCAGCGGCAATCGTCGGCGGCTCCATGTGGACATCTCCGTCGGCGTCTTCGGGAATGGTAGGCGGTGCGTTGTTGCGGCGTCCAAGGTATCGTCCATCCCATCCTGGATATACTCCGGGCAAGGGGCTGTCTGCGTGCCCGGTGTCGTCAGCCTTGGACTCGTTGCTGGTGTTGTTGATGGTCCCGATCTGAATGGGATTGGGGTCGCCTGACCCAAATATCTCTCTTCGCATCACAAACCACAGCGCTGCGAACAATGTAAACCCGATCAGGATTCCATTGAGCATCGCGATGAATGTCATGTAGCAGACCCAATATGATATCTCCTGCGAGGTAGGCTGTGCCTTCACGCGTCCGAGACATGTCATCAGCACTGAGGCAAGCATGGCGGCATGCGGTTGCCTAGTGCCAAAGTTGTGCTTCTTGGCCCCGAAGAAAGCGAGGAGCACTCCGGTCTCCATGATCTTGGTGAGCGCGTCGGCGACCATACTCCACGTAGGTATCCACGAGAGCTTCAGCTGGCTGTTGGGGTGCACCGTCTCCTTGATCATCGATGCGACGATGCGGAGCCGCTTGTCGGTGGATTGGCCCATGTCAGACTTGATGTGCGTAACCAGGCCGTTGCTGTCGCTGTAGATCTCCCCGGATCGCTTGGTGCTGAGGTCGTCGATCTGCTTGAGCGTCTTCTTCAGGTTGTAGGCCTCCGTGAGTAGCTGGCCGAACCAAGTACTCGACTCGGCGCCCTCCAGGGTGGCGTAGCCCTCGGCGGCCAGCGTCGACTTCACGGATCGCTTGACCGTGCCCGAATGCCAGGCCACGGGCAGGCACAAGTCATATCGTCCAGCCACGACGTCCCGTGGCTTGTGAGTTAGCCCAATCGCCATGCCCCACTGGCTCTTCACTCCGTCCACGTTGGCGAAGGCCGCGTCGCTGAAGCAGATAATGGTACAGGTGCGCAGGTCGATGATGTTGCGCTTGATGACGATGGCGAAGTCGGCGGACCCGTGCACGTAAGCGACGGTCTTGTTCAGCGTCTTGGCGTCGGCCACGGTGGCGGTGTTGGCGCGGCGAGCTGCAAGGCTCACCGGGCAGGCGATGTCCACTCGCGTCTGTGCTGCGAGCCAAAGCAGTTGACCGAGCGCGTGGCGATATCCCGAGACCTTCGAGGTGGTAAGCCGATCTTCTGGTGATCGTCCGCGTTGGGCGTTGAGCTCGATAAGATCCACCTGGGCGGCGGCCGTCGCCTGGGTAATGCGGAACTCCTCATTGGTCTTGTTGATGGTCCGGCCGCAGTACTTGATGATACCCTCTACCTTCTTGAGGTGCAGCTTCTTCTGCAAGGAGCTAATGACTCGCTTCCACTCGCTGGAGTTGCCGCGCTGGGCGATGAGAAAGTCGCCCACGTGGGAGTGAATCATGGCGGCGAGCCCTTTGTCGTCGTAGAAGTAGTAAAGGCCCTTCTCGAGCTTGCTCTCGATGAGGCCGTGCTCCTGGAACACTTTCTGGGCGTAGAGGTACCACTGGCGTCCTGCATCTCGGGTACCGTAGATGGCGCCGGTCGCCATCACGATCTCGCCGGGCAGCGTGCCTGGCGGCGGGTTCTTGGCTGGTATGCGTAGCAGTAGCAGCCTCTCGATGTTGCCCGACTGCAGGTAGGCCGTCATCGCGTCGTACGACGTGAGGTCCCAGCCAAGCTGGGCGGCGGCAGCAAGCGCGAGGTAAAGCGCGTCCCTTGACCCGGTCGGCGCGTCCGTGCGGATCTGGGACTTGTCCTCTTGACAGCCCTGGACGACGAGGCGGGCCTCCATGAGGTTGGCGGCCTTCTGCGTGAGCACCCAGCGGGTACCGACTGGTCGCATTCCAGGGTGTCGCTTGAGGATCTCCTTCAGTTCCTTGGGCGGCAGCTTCCTGTAGGCCCCGAACTCGGTCCACTTGGACCACTCGACCTTCATGGCCGTGTCCATGAGCTTCTTGTCCTTGGCGGAGAGCTTGTCGCACTTGATCTCTTTAGCAGCGGCCTCCCCGGTGAGCATAACCTCTCGGAGCCGAATGGTCGAGTGCAACTCGTCGTCGCTGACCTCGAAGTAGTTGTCCAAGTAGAGGTCGGTCCTGAGTGTGTCTTTTGGCCTCTTGAAGCACTTGGGTAGGTCGTCCTTGAGACTCTCCAAGAACTCCTTGCGCTTGGTGGCTTTGCTGCGGTCGTCTGTCTGGTCGAGCCTGTCACGTTGAAGTGCGCGAGGTGCGTCCTCTTGTTGAGCTTGGCGCTGAGCCTTGTTGCCGCGTTGTCCTTCAGGATATTGTGGTCTGCGGGCAAGGGCTTCTCTGCGAACTTCCTCCTCCGCAGCCTTGCTCCAGTTGCGTAGCCCTTCGGATCCGGAGCTGTCGGCATCCGATGAATGTCCATCAGCTTCTGTGCGTCGAGCTCCTGGTGCTGGTAGTCGTACTCCATCGCGTTCTTCAGGCTGTTCGTCGTGCACTTCTGGTTGCACGGCGAGTTCTGGAGCTGGATCTGCAGCGCGAGCTGGATCCTCTTGGGCTGGTATTTGAGCCAGAGCGGGGTCAGCGGCAGCAGCTGAGTCAGAAACAGGCGCGGGCAGCGCGGGAAGGTCTCCTCCCGAAGGTGCTGGTGCTGAACCGCTGCCTGAGGCGCCCCCACTTGTCGTATATTATTCATCTCCTTGCCGTCGGCGAATCCATTCAAGGGTAGCATGAGCGCGGCGACTGTGTGGGGTATCTACGATGTTCCTGAAGTTGTGCTGCATGATAGCCGTTGGCGGAGATGGTAGTGCTGGCGGAACGTTTTGTATTCGCGGGCGTTTCTTCGGCGTTTCGCCCGCGAGGTCGATGAACGTATCTCCATCTCCTCCTTGATCTGATGGTGGTAATCCGCCTCCACCGCC